CTGTCGAATCCCATATAACTCATACCACACTTTTTAACCTACCTACATATCGAAATCAAATGTAATCATCCACTAAGTTTCGTATGAATAAGATTCAGATCAAACTAATTATTGGAAATTTTAGTATACCTCTTAAGTTCATTTTTGTATAGAAATTGCTTAAACTCAAAGTTTAGAGTGGCAAGTTGTAGAAATTCATCATTATAGATCCATGAGACCCTGCAAATGGGAATAAATTAGTAGAATGAACTTGTAATATATTTCGAATTGATTTGAATAGAGATCCATACATGCATCATGTGAGTACCTGTTATATGATGTTTTTCCTTTCCATAAAACATTAGCTTCTTTTCTTCTTTCCACACTCTTTGCTCTAAATGATCCAAGCGAGAAAACCATGAAAAACTCAACTCATGGTCTATCTGAAATGCGAAATCCTGAAAAAATTTAACTTAATATTAGGTTTTCATAATAACATACAAAAAATTGAAGTTTAGATAATTTAACCTGTTGCAATAAGCGTTTAACCTGTTGCAACCATTGGATGGTGAAGAACTCTGCAATTGCATCAACATTGTGAAGTCTCCTAAGATATCATCACATGTTCCTTCTTGTAGGAGATATTTTCTAGAAGCTTCACTCACAAAATCATCAAGTGCATCAAATATAACTTTGCTGTGGATACTTAGGCTTCTATTAACCGATCTGTTATTTACAAAAAATTCATATGTCATTATTATATACAAAATCTAAAACAATTATTAGAAACAAATTTTAATTATGTACCTTTGAACTGCTTCGGTGATGATTTCTAGTTCATCGAGAGAACCAACAGTATCAAAGAAATCATCTGTAACTATGATTATAATTGCAGTTATAGCTATAAGCATTCTAACGTAAAAGTCGTGAGGGAGGGATGTTAAACTTGCAGCAACAGCAAAGTAACAATAAGTGATTTTCCACAACCGAATCCCATATTACTCAGACCACACTTTTTAACCCACCTAGATATCGAAATCAAATGTAATCATCCACTAAGATTCGTATGAATAAGATTCGGATCAAACTAATTATTGGAAATTTTAGTATACCTCTTAAGTTCATTAAGTTCATTTTTGTATAGAAATTGCTTAAACTCAAAGTTTAGAGTGGCAAGTTGTAGAAATTCATCATTATAGATCCCTGAGACCCTGCAAATGGGAACAAATAAGTAGAATAAACTTGTAATATATTTCGAATTAATTTGAATAGAGATCCATACATGCATCATGTGAGTACCTGTTATATGATGTTTTTCCTTTCCATAAAACATTAGCTTCTGTTTGTTCTATCCACACCCTTTGCTCTAAATGATCTAAGTGAGCAAACCATGAAAACCTCAACTCGTGCTCTATCTGTAACGCGAAATCATGAAAGACTTTAACCTAATATTAGGTTTTCGTAATAACATACAAAAAATTGAAGTTTAGATAATTTAACATGTTGCAATAAGCGTCTTTAACCTGTTGCAACCATTGGATGGTGAAGAATTCTGCAATTGCATCAAAAGTGTGACGTCTCCTAAGATATCATCACATGTTCCTTCTTGTTGGAGATATTTTCTAGAAGCTTCACTCACAAGATCATCAAGTGCATAAAATATAACTTTGTTGTGGCTACTTAGGCTTCTACTACCCCATCTATTATTTACATAAAATACATATATCATTATTATATACTAAATCTAAAACAATTATTAGAAACAAATTTTGATTATGTACGTTTGAACTGCTTCGGTGAGGATTTCTAGTTCATCGAGAGAACCAACAGTATCAAATAAATCATCTGTAACTGTGATTATAATTGCAGTTTTAGCTATAAGCATTAAAACGTAAAAGTCGTGAGGGAGATATGTTAAACTTGCAGCAACAGCAAAGTAACAATATGTGCTTTTTTCTCTGCCGAATCCCATATTACTCAGACCATACTTTTCAACCCACCTACATATCGAAATCAAATGTAATCATCCACTAAGATTCGTATGAATAAGATTCAGATCAAACTAATTATTAGAAATTTTAGTATACCTCTTAAGTTCATTAAGTTCATTGTTGTATAGAAATTGCTTAAACTCAAAGTTTAGAGTGGCAAGTTGTAGAAATTCATCATAATAGATCCATGAGACCCTGCAAATGGGAACAAATTAGTAGAATGAACTTGTAATATATTTCAAATTGATTTGAATAGAGATCCATACATGCATCATGTGAGTACCTGTTATATGATGTTTTTCCTTTCCATAAAACATTATCTTCTGTTTCTTGTATCCACACTCTTTGCTCTAAATGATCCAACGAGCAAACCATGAAAATCTCAACTTGTGCTCTATCTGAAACGCGAAATCATGAAAGACTTTAACCTAATATTAGGTTTTCATAATAACATACAAAAAATTGAAGTTTAGATAATTTAACATGTTGCAATAAGCGTCCTTAACCTGTTGCAACCATTCGATGGTGAAGAATTCTGCAATTGCATCAATAGTGTGACGTCTCCTAACATATCATCACATGTTCCTTCTTGTTGGAGATATTTTCTAGAAGCTTCACTCACAAGATCATCAAGTACATAAAATATAACTTTGCTGTGGCTACTTAGGCTTCTACTACCCCATCTATTATTTACAAAAAATACATATATCATTATTATATACGAAATCTAAAACAATTATTAGAAACAAATTTTGATTATGTACATTTGAACTGCTTCGGTGAGGATTTCTAGTTCTTTGAGAGAACCAACAGTATCACACAAATCATCTGTAACTGTGATTATAATTGCAGTTTTAGCTATAAGCATTCGAACGTAAAGTCGTGAGGGAGGGATTTTAAACTTATAGCAATAGCAATGTAACAATAAGTGCTTTTTTCTCTGCCGAATCCCATATTACTCAGACCACACTTTTCAACCCACCTACATATTGAAATCAAATGTAATCATCCACTAAGATTCGTATGAATAAGATTCAGATCAAACTAATTATTGGAAATTTTAGTATACCTCTTAAGTTCATTAAGTTCATTGTTGTATAGAAATTGCTTAAACTCAAAGTTTAGAGTGGCAAGTTGTAGAAATTCATCATTATAGATCCATGAGACCCTGCAAATGGGAACAAATAAGTAGAATGAACTTGTAATATATTTTGAATTGTTTTGAATAGAGATCCATACATGCATCATGTGAGTACCTGTTATATGATGTTTTTCCTTGCGATAAAACATTAGCTTCTGTTTCTTCTATCCACACTCTTTGCTCTAAATGATCCAAGCGAGCAAACCATGAAAAACTCAACTTGTGCTCTAACTGAAACACGAAATCATGAAAGAATTTAACTTAATATTAGGTTTTCATAATAACATACAAAAAATTGAAGTTTAGATAATTTAACCTGTTGCAATAAGCGTCCTTAACCTGTTGCAACCATTGGATGGTGAATAATTCTGCAATTGCGTCAACAGTGTGACGTCTCCTAAGATATCATCACATGTTCCTTCTTGTTGGAGATATTTTCTAGAAGCTTTACTCACAAGATCATCAAGTGCATCAAATATCACTTTGTTGTGGCTACTTAGGCTTCTACTACCCCATCTATTATTTACAAAAATTACATATATCATTATTATATACGAAATCTAAAATAATTATTAGAAACAAATTTTAATTATGTACCTTTGAACTGCTTCGGTGAGGATTTCTAGTTCATCGAGAGAAACAACAATATCAAAGAAATCATCTGGAACTGTGATTATAATTGCAGTTTTAGCTATAAGCATTCGAACGTAAAAGTCGTGAGGGAGGGATGTTAAACTTGCAGCAACAACAAAGTAACAATAAGTGCTTTTTTCTCTGCCGAATCCCATATTACTCAGACCACACTTTTCAACCCACCTACATATCAAAATCAAATGTAATCATCCACTAAGATTCGTATGAATAAGATTCAGATCAAACTAATTATTGGAAATTTTAGTATACCTCTTAAGTTCATTAAGTTCATTTTTGTATAGAAATTGCTTAAACTCAAAGTTTAGAGTGGCAAGTTGTAGAAATTCATCATTATAGATCCATGAGACCCTGTAAATGGGAACAAATAAGTAGAATGAACTTGTAATATATTCGAATTGATTTGAATAGAGATCCATACATGCATCATGTGAGTACCTATTTTATGATGTTTTTCCTTTCCATAAAACATTAGCTTCTGTTTCTTCTATCCACACTCTTTTCTCTAAATGATCCAAGCGAGCAAACCATGAAAAACTCAACTCGTGCTCTATCTGAAACACGAAATCATGAAAGTCTTTAACTTAATATTAGGTTTTCATAATAACATACAAAAAGTTGAAGTTTAGATAATTTAACCTGTTGCAATAAGCGTCCTTAACCTGTTGCAATAAGCGTAACAAAAGTCTTTCAATCTCTCTCACAAAATATTGTCCAAATCCAAACCTATGTAATTGGTTAGCAATGCTGAGCTTTATATGGTCCTCATCCATGGGATATGATTGTGGAACTGCTTTTGGGCATCTTTGTGACAAGGACTGTAAATATGCGAGACATTTTTTGTTTCCATAATCCATGAATGCTTTTGCAGTGGCAGAGGGAGATTGGAACAATGAACCGTCTAGACTCAAAATTTTGCATATATCTTTTTCATCAACATACGTTGAAGGCAGAGCTTCAAGATATGCTAGTAATGGAGGGTAACAATGAAAATCGCCAACATCTCTCTCCCTATTTTTGTTAAGAATGGTTTTGCGACGGTTAATAATATATGACATAGTGTCTTGGGTTTATTTTGGTTAGTTTGTGATTATGTGGCTAGAGTGTAACTTTTGTCTTTTAATGGCATCTGATTTTATTGCTGTAAATATTTGTATTTAAAGTGTTTGCTTTTTTTTTTTGTAGGATTTGCTTTGAACTTTACTGTTGTATCTATCTATGTCTATTTTTTTTAAGAAATGGATAAGTCATGGATTACTAAGCCACAACCATCGATTGCATATCAGCAAGGGATAAAAGAATTTATTGATTTTGCATTTAAAGGTGCAAAAGAAAATGATGTAGTAATATGCCCTTGCAAACACTGCGGTTTCAAAAAATCAAAGAGTAGGAGTGACATGTTCGACCACTTAATGTGGTCACCATTTCCGCAGGGATACACCATGTGGATTCATCATGGAGATTCCTTTGTTGTACCTAGTATTATCTCCCCTAGTACTACTCAAAATATGGTTGAAGATACTATCATTTTTGAAGATCCTATCAATGATGCATTTAGAGTTGATATGTATCATGCTAATGAAATACCATCTGCGTCAAATTTAGAGATTGGCCAAGAAGATTATGTGATGCTAAGTGCAACTCAGGAAAGAAACGAAGCCAAGGAGTACTGTAAATTGACTAGAGAAGGAGAACAACCTTTGTATGAAGGGTGTAGACGATATTCAAGACTATCTTTTTTGGTTAAGTTGTACCATATAATGTGTTTATGTGGATTGAGTGAGAAGGCAATAACAATGATTTTAGAGTTAATTAAAGATGCATTTAAATATGCAAACATTCCAGGTTCGTTCCATGAAGCCAAGAAATCAATCACAAAACTTGGTTTGAATTATGTAAAGATACCTGCATGTCCAAACGGTTGTATGCTTTATTGGGGGAGAAGATGAAGAAAGGGAGACTTGCAAAAATTGCAACACTTCAAAATGGGGGAAAAAATGAAGCGGTCTTTGTTAACAAGAAAAAGAAAAAAAATTCCTGCCAAGGTTCTTCGTTACTTTCCATTAAAACCTCGATTACAGAGATTATTTTTGTCATCAAAGATGGTCGAGGATATGAGATGGCACGCAACAGATGCTAACAACGATGGAATGTTGAGGCATCCTAGAGATTCAGAAGCTTGGAAGAAATTTGACTTGACACATACTTGGTTTTCATCAGATCCGCGAAATGTGCGTCTTGCATTGGCTAGTGATGGTTTTAATCCTTTTGGTGTGATGAGTACAAACAATAGTATTTGGCCAGTTGTTCTCATTCCATATAGCACTCCTCCATGGGTTTGCATGAAACATACATAATTTATAATGTCAATGATAATTCCCGAAAAAGAAGCACCAGGAAATAATATTGATGTCTACTTACAACCCTTAGTCGAAGAGCTGAAAGAGTTTTGGACAAATGGTGTGGATACATACGATTCTTTCAAGAAAGAGATGTTCAAGTTGCATGCAAATTTGATGTGGACGATTAGTGACTTTCCAGGTATGGGCGCACTTTCTGGGTGGAACACATACACAGGGCTTGCTTGCCCATCGTGTAACTTTCAAACTACACCTCTATGTCTTAAAGCTAGCCATAAATGGTGTTTTATCAGTCATCGTCGTTTCCTTGATCGGAGACACAGATTTAGATTTAACAGGATCCGCTTTAATGGTGAACAAGAAATACGGAGTCCACCGAGAACATTATCTGGACATGAAGTTTTTGAACAGGTTAAAGATATTGAAGTCATCTTTGGTAAAAAGCCAGTGAAAGAAAAATTGCTAAAAAGAACATTTGAGGGACAACCTATAGAAGGTGATAGTGCACAGTGTGATCCTACACTAGGTCATCCTCAACAGTGGAGAAAAAATAGCATATTTTTTGAACTTCTGTATTGGAAGGATAATCTTCTACGCCATAATCTTGATCCAATGCATATTGAGAAAAATGTGTGTGATAATGTCCTATTTACTTTACTAAATGATAGGCAAAAGAGTAAAGACAATTCTAAAGCTAGAGATGACCTTCAAAACATGGGTATAAGACCTGATCTTTGGCCTGATGAAAATGGTAGAATTTCTCCGATAGCCTTTAGTTTAATGGGTAAAGATAAAAGGAATTTTTTTAACAACTTTAAGGAATATTAGGGTGCCTGATGGTTATTCGAGCAACATTTCTAGATGCATTGACTTAGTAAATCTCAAGGTGAATGGAATGATGAAGAGTCATGATTGTCATATATTAATGGAACAACTCCTACCATTAGCCATTCGCAACACATTACCTCATGAGATTTCAGCAGTTTTGATTGAGTTGTGCTCATTCTTTAGACAATTATGTGCCAAGGTATTGAAAATTGAAGAATTGGAAAAATTGCAAAACCAAATTGTCCTTACTTTATGCCACATGGAAATGTTATTTCCTCCCTCATTCTTCACGGTTATGGTTCACTTGGTTGTTCACCTTGTTGAAGAAGTTAAACTTGGAGGTCCTGTTCATTATCGATGGATGTATCCTGTTGAAAGGCAAACTATGTGATTTTATTTTATTGTTACTAACTTAGAAAGTAGAAAGATTTTTTTAACCGATAGTATTATGGTTCAATAATAGATACTTGGGAAAACTTAAATCGCATGTACGTAATAAGGCAAAACCAGAAGGGTCTATTGCAGAAGGATACCGTTTTGAAGAGATTCTTACATTTTGTTCAAGATATCTAGAAAATATTGAAACTAGATGGAATCAACCTGGACGTGTAGATGATGACCCTATTGGTGATATCCAAACAGGATCACGTGTAGCCGAATTATTTCCTATATTTGGAAAACCCGTGGGTGGATCTTCTTATTACACCCTAACACCAATTGAAAAGTTGCAGGCACATAGACACATTTTAACGAATTGTCCAATAGTTGACGACTATCTAAAGTAAGTAGTTTTATGCCATATAAGTATTTTCATTTGCACTATTAATATTTTTTTTACATCTAATATCAAATAACCAAATAGGCAGTTCCGAAGTATTACTCAGAATCAAATGAAGCGTAGTTAAAGAAGTGCTGTTGAGATAGATAAGAAGGTTCATAGAGAATTTTCTCACTGGTTCCGCAATCGTGTGAGTTTTTGTACAAAAATAGATGTTTTAATTGAATTGGATTTTAATAATAACAAGACTAATTGGATGTTGTATCGTGTATAGATTTGCAACAATCTTGACAACATTCATGGACTAGATAAAGATGTTCTCATTAGCCTTGCTTATGGCCCTTTTGATAAAGTTAAAAGATTTACTGTGTTCAATGTCAATGGATTCAAATTTCAAACATTGGAACGAGATAATCTTTTAAAATCTCAAAATAGTGGCGTTTTTGGCTTGTTTGGGACGCGGAGTTATTCAAGCAATAGTGATACCCAAATGAGATTTGGAGGGTCCCTTACTATGGAAGATTGGTAGACATTATTGTGCTTTCCTACGATGGCTTCACAGTGCCCATGTTTAAATGTGAAAGCGCTAATACCACAAACCCAAGAGGCATTAAGATAGATAAGTTGGGTTTTACTTCTATAAACTTTACAAAACTACTACATTCTGGGGAACATGAAGATAATGATCCGTACATTCAAGTGTCAGAAGCTCAGATGGTTTTTTATGTGGATGATGAGAATGAACAAGGGTGGAGTATACCTGTTCATTTGAAGCCAAGAGACTTGTATGACATGGGTGGAAATGATGAAATTATGTCACCCATTGAGCTATATCCATCACAAAATTTGGAACAAATTTTTTTGAATGATGATATTGGAACTTCATCAGCAAATGATAACAATAATTAACATATAGTTTTTTATTGATAAGAAATTTAGTTTGTTGGTATAATTAATATTATTGTGTGAGACTTATTGTTTTTTTTTATCCCTAGTTAATGTATGAGATGACATTATTACTTTATGATTTTTGTTGTTTATCCATAATCAATGCGTGAGATGACATTACTACTCTATATTTTATTGCATAAATTATCCTTTTAATTTATTGTGTTTGCGTTATGTTTATTAAATTTATAGTCACTAATATAAAATTTTGATGTTTACTATTATTAGTGTACTGTCTTTTTAATACATATACTTGCAGTTGAAGCCTTTTGTGAGACAATGATTACATCATATGAGGAAATTCGCCTCAAAAGGATTGCAGAGAATAAGAAAAAGGTAGAGGCTCTCAATCTTCCAAAGCTCTCTCAATCCCTTCACAAAACATCTTCGTCTTCTTCCAAACCATCACCGGTTAGTAATAAGTTCTCAATACTAGTCTATAAAAATTAATTGTATTAATTGTTGATTGATATTCACCGATGTATTTTATTTAGTCTGTGAAGGGTCGTCCGAGGTTTGTACAACCTGGAGAGCTTGAAGTAAACAAGAAGCGCCTACGTTCAACTACAATGTGCAAATCATCAATAATCCCTCCGCCAATCAAAACTACAATAACTCTTCCACCAATCCAAACTAAAATTACCCCTCTTCCAATTGAAACTACAATAACCCATTTGCCAATCCAAACTGCAAAAGATGTTGTGGTAGAAGATGAGGATGAAGATGATGTGGTAGGAGATGATACCGAAGATGATGTGGTAGGAGATGAGGCTGAAGATGTTGTGGTAGGAAATGAGGCTGAAGATGTTGTAAAAGTGGCTAAATCTGTGTATTGGGATGTAAATGTCATTAGTAAGTAATTTAAGGTTAAAGTATTTGTAAATAATTTAATTTTTTTTACATAGTTGAGTTATCACATTAATTTGTTTACTTGTTTATGTGATAGATGAGGAAGGTTATGTTTCAAACACACGTTTATGTGTGAAAGACTTGGTTGCAAAATCAAAGTCTGATGGAACGTGGATAATACTTGAATTTGATAAGGATCATTGTGCAATAGGACCAGCTTCTGGTTTGTTAGCAGGGTATTTGGGTATAATTATTAGAATGTTTAAAGACTTTTCCATAATGTTCGAGAGTTGGAAGGATATTCCAGCGGATACAAAAACAAAGTTTTATGATTCAAAGATAACGGTAACATTAATAAACAATTACATATTTTTTAAATTAATTTCAAGGTGATTATTATTTGCTTTGTTAACTATTTTTTTTTTATGGTTAGCTCCACTTTCTTGTTGATGATGGGCATGACAAAGAATTCATACTTGCTTCTGCTGCAAAGAAATGGAAGAATGGCCGACATCAATTGTTTCGCCAATTTTATAGATGGGATCTCACTTTGGAGGAAAATCTTCAAAATTATCCAATATGCAGAGGCACTCTGGAAAATGATTGGGCTGTTTTTGTTCAATATAGGCGGAAATAAAAAACACAGGTAATATTAGTGCTTTTATTTGTTAGATTTATCTGGTTTGTATGTTATCCCTATCTATAACGCATGTTTTTAATTGTTAACTATGTAGAGAATAGCTCAAAAAAATGCCCAAAATAGAGCAAATTGAAGACTCCACATACACTCGGATCTAAGTCGCTTGCAAGGAAGAAACATGAGTTGGTATGTCTAAATTATATAGAGTTGAATGTATTACTGATGGTAAAAAATGATTAATATATTTTCTTATTTGTAGGAATCGAGAGATGGACGAACATACAGTAGAGGAGAAATGTATGCAGTTTCTCATAAAAAGTCTGACGGGTCTTTTGTCAGTGAAGATGCATACAAGAATAATGTAAGTACAAGTTAATTCTTTTTAAATATTTGTTAGTCTCCTTAAGGTATGAGAAAAAATCAAACCTTTTGGCATCTCTTAAAGGTGGGGAGAACGTGTCTGAAAACTGATTAAATTAGATTGAGAATTGTGATTATTTGAGTTAATTAATTAGTCTTGTAATAATAGATTGTGCTCTTTATAAA